CACGACCTAAATCCTCATATCTTTCAAGCTATTTGTGTGATCGTCTCACACGAATATAAGTCCTACTTAATAAAATTGGCAGGATGAAACACTTAAATATTTCTCCTCAAAATTGAAGCCAAACCATAGGATAGCTAGGGAAGTCACCGAGGTTCTCCCCGGGATCTATAACATCCCCTAGTTCTTCCTCATTTGGACTCTACAACAAAATATTCAAAATTTGATTCATTCCCCTTTCACACCTCTTTGTCTGATTTCGTTAAAAAGTCTTATCCTATTGAACTCCATGAAAATAATATTCTCTGATTTTTATCAAGAGTTTTTTTAGGTGACTTTGGTTATGTAAAATGTAATTAATTATAGAGGTTTGCCCTTATAGGAAGTTTTTCTAAACCTAACTTAAAATAAAGCCTATTTAATTATTCATATTAAATGAAAAAAAAAAATATCGGCAAATAAAATGGTTTCACAAACCAAACGGATGTCATATATTTCTTAATTTATTTGATCGAGCCTCATCCTCAAGTCTTGTGTTTATCCTTCGGGATAGATACAGGGTTTGAGGTATAGTGCTCTTTCATTTAAACTCTGAAAGATATGGGGTCAGTTTGATTTCATATTTTTCTAAAACTTATATATATATATATGTAAATTAAAATGTCATTCTGAAGCGGGCAACGGTATTTCGATCCTGGTGACCGACAGCTTCCAACGGGCAACTCCTTAACCAAAATAGTGTCGACAACTATAATACAAATAAGGACTTTTTATGTTATATTGATTGGATTGATTAGTAAAATCTTTTACAACAATTGAATGTTGAAATAATAAATAAATAAAAGTTACCTAGTGAAAAATCATTTCATTTCTATTGTGAAACATGATGTTTTCATTAATCAGTGCAATAAAAAATTAAAATTAACTGAGAAATGGTGAAATGGTACTGATACATTTAAAAGGGTCTGCTACAATGAATCCACATGCAGAATTAGAAATAATAGTGACCCACGCTATATTTCTACTAAATGAGAGATTCACAAGTAGGATTAGTATTGTTGATGCAAGAGGACACTGTAAAAGAAAAGCCAACACCCGAGACAATGCAACCCTATTGAGAAATTTTAGCATGTTCTGATTCACAGCCTACCCCCAACTATAAGAGATTCAACATGTTATAAACTTATTTTAGGATCGATGCTCCCCAACAAGCCAACCTACAGGATGAATAGTATAGTATAAGGAGCTGCAAAAGTAAGACAAGGATCTTATAGTCTGAGGACTGGTTCATGATAGTGTCAGTCCATAGGTTGTGCCAGCTTTATTGTACCGAAGAAGTATGGATCATCGTATATGTGCATTGATAGCAAGACCATGAATAAGATCATTATCATATATCGGTTCCTCATTACATCATTGGATGATTTATAAAAAATTATCATATTTTAAACAATTAAATTTTATAAATTGTAAAATATAATAAATTATTAATAACAAAAATAATATATTAGTATTAATTATATTAATATAATATTATAATATTTTAATTAATATAAATATTATAATATTTTAGCAATTCAAATATGCAATTAAATCTTAATATTTTCGAACAATTCAAACATTTCGAACAAATCAAACAATTCGAATAATTCGAACAATTTGAACGATTTAGATAATCCGAACAATTCAAACATTTCAAACAATTAAAAATTATTTCGTACAAATCGAACCGAACACGAACAACATCCTTAACGAATAATTTCGAACACGAGCATACTTCAAACACAATTAATTTCAAACGAACCAAACCCGAACACGAGCTCTGTTCATTCGTGTTTGGTTCGTTTACACCCTTATTCATATCTGCTGATTTCCCCCAACAGCAGCTGTTTTCCCCACTCTACACCCTCCAAACAAAATCGCTTTAGGTTTTCCCCCATTTATTCCTATCGCACTATTATCCCTGCCTACACTTTGATCCTAATACATGATCTAGAAAATCTGGATCAGTGTCATGGTGTCTGCTAGTTGCCAAACATGTGCTTAAAATGGAAAGAACTACTTTGAATTGTGCTTTGTGTTTGACAAAAACTTCAAATTGATATAGTTAAGTTCCACGCATTTTCCAAAAGCAGCTGTAATTATTATAGAAATCTGACGAAGATTCTGATTTTTCTTCCAATGTAATACTACCATTCACTTATGTGGCAACCATATAAATGCATTCCATATTCGGTAAACTGTATTGGCGACAAGAGTTACAAATTAATCGTCGGGCACTAATATTTTATTCAGTACTTAAAAAGAACCTTCTATCATATAATAGACATCTAAATATTCATGGGCAATTTCAATCACAAGATGCCAAACTGAATAATATTCTATATTAACAGGAATAATATTTAACGTACAAAAAAATTAATACCCAAATTGAGAGAAATGCAAATTTATAGAGTCAAGCATATAGGCACCAACCTGATAGTACCGAACAACATGTTGATGCTGCAAACGTGAGAGTGTGGCAACCTCCCTGAAACCCTTGAAGTGATTGTACAAATCAGTAAATTGATAAAAAAAACTAGACAATCTTATCAAATTTTGCAAATTGAAGCAAATTTTGAAGCATGAATTAGTAAAAGCATGATCGATAAAATATATTCATTTTGCTGATAACTATCACAGATGCAAGTCAAAACCCAGTAAATGTGTACATAACAGATTTGAAAGAGCAATTTAAAAAAAAAAAAAAAAAACCTAAGGGCTGATATATTAAAGAGAAAGGTACAGATAGGTTTGTATGGGTGAGCCTAAACACCCAACCCATACGGTACAACACACACAAAAAAAATGTAAAACATGGGTACATATAGAAATCAAAAAAACCCAAAAACCACTCGGGCGCTGAAAAGGTGTGGGTCATCCCAATCTAGTCTTGTCTCTATGAGTTGTCTCTACACCGAATACTTCTTGAATAAGTGGAGATCTGAGACTCTCCTGATTATAAGTCCGAACACTATCATTTATAGGTAATAGTTCAGCAGTATTATTTTCTATGGAGTTTGTAGGTGTCAGCACCGCATCAATCGCAGTAATAGTAACAGCAGTGTCATGGGGGGTCCTCAAGGGCAACAGATACCTCCTGTCTGGTAGTATCATCCTCAGGTGGAACTAAAATGTCCACAGCAGTGGGGTTAAACCCATCCTTATTCACTTGAATCTTAGATTTCAAATTAGGATAAAGCTTGTGGCATTTAGCAAGGATATGACCAAACATCTTACAGTGGGTACAATATAAGGGTTTGTGTTCCATGACGATTTGTTGTCAATAACCATTATGGGTTGTGCCCATCCAGACTTCAATAACATCAGGTAAAGTAATATCTCTTTCCACAAGTATTCTAACCACCGAGGGTCTGGTTAGGTTAAAAGTAGGCAAATCTAGTTTCAAAGAATCCCCAAGGATGGCCCCAATTGAGTAGAGAACCTGATGGTGAAAAAAATGCAGCTTGAGACTAGATAAAATAAACCATATCAGTACGGTGGGAGTTTCATGATTTGGGTCAAAAGCAGGAAACCATTTGAGTAACTTCATAGAATTTCATATTTTTTTTGGAGAAAATTCTGGTGTAGTCTTCAGCCGCTGTTAGTTTGATCAACACATATCTCTCATTCATGAGTCTCACTTTCCACTTACCTACTAGCTTAAGATCATCAACACTCATTCTAATAACATCCATAGAAAGGTGTTCCCACCAAAATTTTTCAATAAGAGCAAACTTGAATTTTTCCATCATGGTAGAAATTTCTGATTCAGAGAAAATGATTGTTTCTTTTCCACCTTTCCTACTTTCATTCTTAATAAAAGAACAATCATCTGTACCCTCACAAGATTTCTTATAACTTGAGGGGAATACCACCTCGGACTCCACCTGAGGGTTACCCACCACATGGGCCAATGAGACGTCCGGCTCAACCAAAGAAGAAAGAAATGCCATCAGAGGCTGTCGGTGTCAAACTGCTGCGAGACTGTTGAAAGGCAGAGGAACTGTCGGGCGCAGAAGCAGAAGCAGCGCTGAAAGAGAAGAAAACCAAACAATCAGGCGCAGACGACGAAGCTGTGAGCGACAGAGGCGTGGAGCGATATCAAGCACGAGCAGTGTTGCGACATCTAGGAAGATGACGAAGCGAGTAGTGGAGCGATATCGCGACGCGAGCCGCGACAGGGAGCTGCGAACGTCGACGTCGACGTAGACACAGACGCCAGACGACGGAGTGAGAGTCGACGATGTGAGGTCCTCTCATTGTGATAGAATCAATTGCGACCAAAATAGCCATTGGAAGCCTAAGCGGAGCTCTCGACCGTAGCCAAATACGTGCTATAAGATTTCTTAGAATCTAGAGTTGCTAATACAGATCAATTATAAGATGTAGAAAATCAAGCAACACAAAACAAAACTTGTATGGCCAAACACTTAATTTGAAAAGCTATCTGTTAAGCCAACAAGGGTCAAAAGAAGAAAAAGAAAAAACAATGCAGATTAGCATGTAGAAGTTTGGAACCATGAAGTATATGCAGCTAGTAGAAAACCATGCACTCTAAGAAATTCAAATTGTATGCACTCTTAAATATTCAAATTGTACCAACTTACATAAAAGCAATCGTGCATTCAGTCCAATGATGGGATTTAAATAAAAAAATTAATTTAAGGGAAGAAGTCCTCAAAATCAAAAGAATCAAAACATACATTCTCCCAAAATCAAAAGAATCAAAACATACATTCTCCTAAAAAACTTCAACTCTCCCATCTGTTCCAGAAGGAAACTAATAAAGGTAAAAAGGATATCCCATTCATTATAAGTTTTACTCCGAACTAAATTGAATGAGCTCTATAAAAGCCTAAGGCCATATTATAATATTTAATAACTAAAAGGATTCCTTAAATTTACGGACTAAATTAGTCCAAACAATTGCAAACATCGCGTGCTTAAATTTTGGAGAGTAACAGTACTGCTATAAGTCAGACTCAAGCCGTGAAATAGAAGACACCCATTGACACTGATCAATAGTTGCTAGATGTTATATAGGGATCAAGAGAACAAGTAACATAGTTGTAGAGTGAGAATAGAAGGAAAAATACCTAAAATGGTGATGTCTAGGATAGGTTTGAATGGGTATAGCAGGTGATTTTGATGAAAACAACTAGATGGAAGCGAGTTGGCTAAGGGATCAAAGGTATTCTTGTAAAAGCCTGAGCTCTCATCCATCAAGATATTGTCCGCAATAGCCTGATAGCCTCACGATTTTGCCCCATTGGAGTAAATTCTCATTGAAGTAACTTCCTAAATGTTCTTTCATGTGCACGCATTTAACTTTGGAGTTCTATCAAAATTTCATTGCTACAACCAAAAGACGCCTCGATGTTTAAGAATTCAGCTTCATTTCGAAAAATCCAACTTTAATTGTTAAAAATAAATAAATTAAAATTTTATATCGTTAGAAGGAGACATGTCGATAAGAAAATCAAAACAAAAACTCTCAATATCATTTCATTCAAACCAAACCATGATAAAGATAGAGATAGCGAGAACGAGAGGGAGAGAAAGAGATAGAGGAAGAAAAAGAAAAGAGAAAAGCTTTTGTGTGAAGGTAGAGGGTTAATTTTAACTTCAAGATGTGGTTGAAGAAGAAGCCCTTAGTACACTTGAGAGATTTCACCTATACGAAGGAGGCTCGAGAGTAACATCAAGGATGAAGAAACCCTGGTAGGGCGGGTCCGGTGTGAAGAAGGAAGGGAGGAGACACTTACATGCCTTAAAGAGAAGAATAATCATGCCCTAGCCGAGCAAGGAGGAAGAAGAATTAAAGGATTTAGGGCCATTAGTGTTTTGTGAGAGCCAAGAAAACTCCACGAGAAGAACATGTGTGTGCATCCTGTGTACGAAAAAAAAAGAAAAAGAACAAGGTTGTTCTTTTTATCAAAGTGAGCAGCATTTGAGTTAATGGAGAATCAAACTGAACAGTGGATAAAGCCAAGATTAGGGCAACCTTTTAATTCAGGTTACAAATTACTTTAATTATTTATTAAGGAAATACTTTAATTGTATAATATCAAAAAAATTTATTATTAAAATGTTAATCATAAATTATATGTGGAATAATAGAGGCTGAATCAAGTCGAATTGTAAGGGACAAAGAGGAGCTTTCTGTGCAGGGAAACAAGTCAAACCTTTTAAGGTAAGGTTTAATTCATTTTAATCCATGAAATTATATATATATATAAGTTATTCATTAAGTGTTGATAGTAAGTTTAATTGAAGAAAGGGAGATTCGCTTTCGAGATTGAGTAAATCACTTTGAAGATGAAGTATATTTTAATTAAGATTAAAATTTGTTTTATTTAATTTAGAATTAATATTTAATAAATATTAATTTATAACAACAATTAAGATTGAAGAACATTTGAATCTTACAATACTGGAGATAGAGAGTCAGTGAGAAAAGCAAGCAAGGTTAAGGTAAGTAATAATATTTCTAAATTTCAGTAATTTTCATTATTTCTAAATGTATGTTTGATTTCATTTATCTTGCGTTCCAATGAGATTTAGATTATAACAGATTCTTCATATGATTACAATGAAAGAGT